CATGATTTATGTAATCTTCCCATGTTGAAATATGCACTAGTGTTCGGTTAAAATTATTTGAAAGGTTTTATTTTAACATATGTTTAGATGAGTTGTTATTTCTTAATAAGAAGTTATTTAATTAAAAAGTAAGGTAGGGGTTATTTTAAAAATAAATAACTTAATTATTTTTTACTGTGATTACACATTTAAAAAGATAATAATGATATTTATCATTATGATGATATAACAATTTATTATTCCCACATTCTCTCTCTCTCTCTCTCTCTCTCTCTCTCTCGTCTCACCCTCTCTCATAAAAATTGATTCGTTCAATCTCACTATTCCATATAGATTGTTATATTACCGATATTTCATTATCATAATGATAAATAGTAGGAGTGAGCACGATCCGATTCTGAAGGGAATCAAATCAAACCGAGTAACAATGGGAATTTTAGAAATGGAACCAATGTTTGGAACCGGTGCCGAACCAGTCGGTTCCGATTTGGTCCGATCCGGTTCTTTATATTGAAAAAATTATATATAAAAAAAGTATGAAATTACTTTTCAAATTAAAAATAAACAAAAAATAGAGTATGAAACCACTTGTCATTCTTATAATTAACAATACAAAAAATCAATTGAACAAGATAACGAACGCAAATTCACTTAAAAACTCAATATTAATTTATAAAAACGAAAAAATGATCAACTATTAAATATAGTATAAACGGTAAAATTTCGATCGAAAATTAATTTTTTTAAAATATATATATATAACAATAGTCTGATTATTTTTAGTAATTTTCAACAATAATGATTCTTGATGGCCAGTCACTTTGAAAATACCAAAAATTTTGAATTCTTATGAAATATTGAACTAAAAATATATTTCCAAATGTATTGTATTAAAATTGTAAAATCTAATGGCAAAAGCTACATAATAATCTCACAAAATGTAAATTATACAAATACTTTGTTTTGTAGATCAGGCAGGAAGCGATGACATATAAGTGCATGTTAGTGGTTTTTGTTCAATTATATTTATGCATGCCGAGAGATGCATCTGGTGGACGTGCCGGAGTGGTTATCGGGCATGACTAGAAATCATGTGGGCTCTGCATATATTTTAGTGTCTCCTCTCACTCTCCTCTCTCCTTCTATGGACTTTTAGAGTCTCCTGAATCCTCCATTTATGAAAAAATGGAGCCCATTTTAAAATGTCTCAAAGGGCACCCAAAATTTCAAGGCCGG